AAAACGCTACGAATTAATTCCAACACCTAATATATACGCGCTTTTATTGTTAAAAGTGAAGTATAAAAATACGGACCAATAATTTTATAATTAATTTACTGTATTTTAAAGTTGATTATAGTGAATCTGAAAATCAAGTATAACTTACAAAGGCGTATTTTAGAATGAAACGAGAATACGCGTCGTTGAAAAAGTAACTACAGCGCTTGCGCTAGTTTTACAGCAATAGTTGTTCTTATGGATGTTATTCTACGAGACAAGAACATCTGTTGAATTTGTTCGTTCGCTGAATCGATCGCTTAAACGTGACATATTTTAAAAAAGTATAATAGTATTAAATTGGGAGAGTTTTAATATTACATCAGTATTTTATTGCACATTTCACGGTACATATATCATTGAAAATTCAAAAAATTTTCTAAAATTTATGTAAATTTCAACAATTTAGCGAAATTGGTTGAAATACTGAAATTGTCTTAAATTGTGAAACATTTCATACATTAGAAGAAAAAAATATTAAAAACATTTATCATCAATCAACTAAATGGTGGGGATAAGCGCAACTTAGTTCACTTCAATTCCGTTAAAAGCATTTCAGAGTTAGTTGAGACATGATCAGTATTGTGGACAGATATTTCAGTCTTAATCGAACTCTTTTGTTGATAATTGGTTTGTGGCCTTATAAAAAATCAAAATTTGTTGGATTGCAAATAATAGGTATATTTAGCATCCTTATAACTTGCATTATATTTCAGGTATGAAGATTTTCATTCTAATATTATATTAGATCTAGAATTTATTTACTATAGCAAATATGTTGAATTTAAGAATTGATATTTGATAATTGATTTTTTTCTGGAAATATGAATTGTCTTGACATATACCAAATAAGCAATTAAATATAAAAAATTAGCGCAAATATTAGTAAGATCTTATCCTTTATACGTATAAAAAAAGTCTGAGCAAGTACATATACGCATATACACGGAAAAAAAATTAACTGGGTGGTACAGCAAACCTATAATTTACTGCGCGAATTCAACATCGATAATTAAGAAAATTTGATGGTTTAATAAATCTCTAATGTTATTCAGCTGTCAACATTGCTATTTTAACATAGAAAATTGACTGTATATTACGTCTGTATAATACGACTGTAGATTTACTGAATCAGTGAAGTTTTCAGCAATGTTTTTTTCCGTGTAAATATAGTTGTGCCAATAATAAAATGTTATTATATGTCGATTTCTATTGCAAATAGTTACATAATTAGATTAGTACGAAATTTTGAAAATTATAATTATACAATTTAATATTTTTGAAGATTTCACTATTTACGAATTTTCCATACAGAAGTCATGTTTCGCGGGTTACCTTCTGGTCCAAATCCATTATTAAAATCCCAATTTTTCATAAATTTGTATTTAGTTCATTAACGTCAATTTGATATATAATCAAATTGCTCCTCGCTCTAAAATAAATTGCAATATTTATACTTTACGTTAGCACTTTAATATTGGATTCAAATAAAAATTAACTCGCGAAACTCAATTATACGACTTGGTAAAAATGGTTTAGTTGCATTAAAATAGATTAAAATATGAATGTTTTTTTTTTAAATTATTATTTACAGGTTACAATAATTTTTACTTCATCATGTTCTACAGAAGTCATCATTAAAGTTCTTTCTACCGCATTTGCTTTTAGCAACTTCAATATTTTTAAAATTTTAACTAACAATAAGATATATAAAAGCTTATTGATAGCATAGATAAAAAATTTAATGGAAAAAATTCAGCATGTCTATAACGATTTAAGAGATAGCAACGAAATTGCTATTGCAGAAGAATATGGAAATAATGCAAAACAGTATACGGTTATGCTTACAAGTAAGACATCTTTTCATTTTTTTTTATATTGGGAATTATTTAATGAAATTCTTATTAAATTTTTACAACTAAAAAATATTTATCTTAATTTATATAATAAATCAAATTAGCATTTGAATGTAAATGTACCAAAGAATAAAAATGCATGCCAAAATACTGTAAATAAAATATTTCAACTGTATATAGTCATAAGTATAATATTTTAGTTTTAAGAAACAAGATTGATATTGCAATAATAGAAGTATTGTTTTGAAATGTGAAACAATAATACCAAATCTTCATAATAGTGAATAGTAATTCTTATTTGTAGCTTATCTGTATTTATGAGTACCTCTCTATGGTTGGAGTTCAGTGATATTGTATTATCTACAAACGTATCTCGATCACATCATCTGCAGATCTCCACCGAATATTTTATCGATCAACAAAGATATTTCTATTTACCGTATTTCCATATAAATGCAACTTTTACTATAGGATGCGTAGTAATATGCGGGACAGGATCATTGCTTATTGCATATCTTCAACATGTTTGTGGAATGTTTAAAATTGCTAGGTAACATAATAAACATATATAATAATCAAATAATTTGTAATTAAAACAAAGTGTCTGTGGTGCGTGAATACATAACTAACAATGAGTAACAAAGGCGTACATGATATGAGTTGTATCTTAAATGCTTAAATACTTCGATATGAATTTTATATGAGTAGGTGTATACCCAATTCTATAAACTACGCGTCAACATCACTCATAAAACGCAGTCATAAATAGAATTAAAAAAAAATATCATACATTTAAGCTGAAAAGTAATTGCCATAATAATAATATTGATGCTAATCAATATTTTGCAAGGATATTAATAATTTGATGTTAATAAGCATCTTAAAAATTGTTACAAAATTTAAATTAGAAATGAGCTCTTTGTTCTCTTATTTTCAAAAAGCATTTGTTTTGATACGAAAAATTGACTTTCTAAAATATTAGCTATTATTATGCTTATTAAAAATTTAAATAGTTAGATTAATAAAATAACGAAATATTAATATGCATAATTCCTTAGAGTAATGTGCAATATAGTGTATCTCAAGTTACTTTTTAACTTTATCTTGAAAAAAAAATTTTAAATGGAATAAAATCAAATACATGAAAAGTAGTTAACGTTTATATTTTATGTTATTGGAAATTCTCAACAGTCCGGGATTATATAATATTACAAATAAGCTTATTACATCAATAAGTTTGTGCACAAATATGTTACGCTATAGGACCAGATCAATAATAAGTGCGTAACGCGAACACACTTACAAAAATTATTTTATTAAATTATATTATTGACCGCTATAACACAAGCTAATTTTTTCCTCTTATTTCTTTAAAATTATTGAGTATTTTTACTTCTTGCTACAGTTATCAATTATTAAATTATTTACACAGTTATCGTATCAAGAGAGCTATACATACTTACACATCAAAAAATCTTAATACGCAGAAAGAGATATTGATTTATAAAGATCTAATTCGTGCTGTAGATATTCATCGAAATTCTATAACGTAAGTAATCTATATATTCGATGGTAATCTATATATATTGTATAATAAATATATAACATTCGTAATAACTTACGTTTGCTTTTAGATTCTCCTACTATTTCATATCCAGATTTCAAATCTCGTTCATGTTTTTAATAGTAACTGGAGTTCTTACTTTGAGCCTAAATATTTTTCGAGTGAGTCTCGTCATTTACAAATCTATGTTAATGATTTGCATATTAATTCATTACTTTGCTTCAGATTAATAAATTAAGTCTTTTTCTTAAGGTCTCTTTCTAACAAACAATATTGACAGAGATTAGATTAATATTTTAAGGGTAACAATTTATGTAAAGATTATTTAAATTTAAATTTTGTCATTTTGAGATATTACCGACATATATTTATTGACATAATTTTTTTATTTCCAAATCCGTATCAGGATTTTGGAATTATTAGAATACCAGCTTTAAATATTAAATAATTATGTGAAAAATAAGATATAACTATTAATTTTGCTAGAAATTCATTTCACACATAGTTTCTAATTTTTCATAATATAACATCAAGTTCGTACATCTTGAAATTAACTTATAACTTATACTTGTTGTATAATAATATTTATTTAAAATTATATATATATATATACATATAATAATAAGATATATTTCATATATATATATATACCAATTACAATTAAAATTTATAATACTCTATTTATGAAAATATATATACTTAACACATTAATTTTTATAGTAGATAAATGTTGTGTTAAATTCTATCACAAATTAACAAATTACGTTTATTTAATAGTATATTTAGAAATTGATCTTAATAATACATTCGTTTACTAGATCTTTCAGATTGTATCATTCGAATATAATACTGAAGAACTTATGATATCTTGCATAATTATATTTGCCTGTTTTCTATATATGTTTGTATCCAATTTGGTCGGACAGCAAATTATAGATCATAATAATTACATATTTGTCACTGCGTAAGTAATATAATTATTTTGTGTATAGTAGCATATTATAAAAAAAATTCAGTGGTTTATTCTGTAATTCTTAACGAGTGTAACGCTATAATTATGCAGTCGTTAAAAGTTACAAAATTGGCCCTTAAATTACTAATAAAGAAATGAAAAGTATCAGTAATTAAATTTTGATGTATTAATGTAGTACATGGCACATATATGTATACATGATGAAGTAACATCATATAAATATTCTTTCCTTCAAATTTTTTAAATCATCATTAATTTTAGATATGAAGTTCAATGGTACGTAACTCCTTTACCCATACAAAGGCTAATATTGATTCTACTGCAAAGAGGTATGAAAAGTTTTGGCCTGAAAGTCGGTGGATTGTTTGTGGCGTCCTTAGAACGTTTTACTACGGTACACAAAATATATATTTTATGTCCTTTACTATAATATTAAAATATATTTTTTATATGATGCAATAAAATGAAAACAAACATAATTTTTTACAGTTAATAAATGCATCCATTTCTTACTTTACTATTATATATTCAACGCGATTATAACAGTATATTATAAAAGACAGCTTGCAATATATCTCGTGTCTAAAACAAAAAATATTGACATAAACTATTTATAAAAGAAAGACGAAGAAAAAAAAATATTTTACAATAGTATTTAATGTAAGAAGAAAGTCAATAAATATATATATTACACGTTACTTTTTTTTCATATTTAATAAGTATTTCATATATTTAATAAATAAATTACATAATAAGACAGAATAAAAAATAGATTGAATAGTGACTTAATTTTATTGAGTAATAACTTAATTTTACGTATTAGCTTTCTTTTTATAATTATTATTCTCTTTAATATCTTTTAGATTCTTAGATTAATTTAATACTACACACACATATATATTATTTATTTTATTTTTTAATGTTGTATCTTGAAAATCGATATTATTTTAATATTATTTTATGATCTTCTGTTTGATATTCAGACCTATTTCATATTTTATAAAATATTATTTATTTTAATATAGGCAACGTAAGATATAAATATATATATGTATATATATATATATATAAAATGCATTAAAAAAAATAGAAATATAAATACATTAATTATATAATTATTATACATTAATATTACACAACATTGTTATTGTACAATAATGTTTACGTGTGATACTTTTAAAACATTTATACCCCAGCAGATCATATGTATAATGTACAAATATATATACATTAAAATGAAACATATGAATGAACACTGAAAATTGACGAACTAATAATATGTTTGCGTAACATTCACTTTATATTTTTTGCGTGAGTGGTATTCTATGTAAAGGGAACATCTGTTACATTTCCACATTGAATCGATTACACAAGCCGACAAAATTTATGGTGGGTCTTCTGCTTTGAACTTTGAAAGATATGTCTACAGGATTTTGACGTGCTGAAAACTACTACGTTGTCCATTTTTTTCCATTACCCTCCATTTTTTTAATAATCGCAAAAACAATTTTTTTCGGAAGTAACTTATTTATTAATTTTTTCCGCCTAAACAAAAAATGATATCAAAGTCTTTTTTGCGGCATTTAACTTAGGAACGTTCCAATAATATTAGGTGTTGGAATTAATTCGTAGCGTTTTACAAGTGATGGGAAGTACTTTCATTAATGTATTTTTTAATGCTCATGTGAAATAAATAACATTCTTTCATTAAAAAACGCTACGAATTAATTCCAACACCTAATATTAAAAATATTTTTTCGATGTTTATAAAAATGTTTTATGCAATCAAAATTAAAAAATCTTTGGAAAAATCATGAAAAACCAGAAAAAAAGACAGAAATATAAAACCAAATAATTCAAAAAAAAAATCGATAATTTAAAAAATATCTGACAATTTGTTATTATAGCTGTATGTTTCCACTTTAAATTCTTTTTTAAGAAACTAATTTCCGACCATTTGTTCAGGAGTTATTGAATTTAAAGCACCAATGCTTGCGCGTCACCTACAGTGCGCGATATTTTTTCAAGTCAGACACATAGCCATCAAATACGTGCGCATGTTGTGTAGCTTTTTTAATCATTGATTTCGAATCTGTACAATATCCTCCTATATTCGGTGGCTACGTGCCAGACTCAAGAGAATATCGTGCACTGTATTTTTCCCGAAGAGTCGGTATGGTTTTTAACATTTTTGTCCATGTTGTTTGTATCAGAGAAGATTATCTTCAGCATTATGTTTACTTTCCAATACGTACATGATTGACAATAATTGCTCTTTACAATGATCTATTAACTTGCCAATATAATTTCCTCGTGACACCAAATAATAAAAAGAAGCCGCGTGTTTTCCAGGATCCGTCGCCAGACATTTTCAAATTTAATAAAGATTGTCCATTCTTAGTATTTTCTTTTTCTTCATCAATCATTTTTCTATACAAATTATCAAATACTGCACTTGCCGCAGCATGAACTTTTTCATAGCATTTTCACAGACCAGCTTAGGCTTTGGTCGAGGTAATAAGCTCTCAAAAGATTATGCCTTCTCTAGCAATGCTTAATAATCTCATAACAAATACTAACTATTCTAAGATTGATTTCGTAAACATTTATAATGAAAGGACCGTAGTTAATTGGTGTTTGACCACATCTAATTATGATTTTAAAACGAAGGCCACGATGGTCTGATTCGCCAAATGTTATATTTTGTTTACAATGCTGCAAATAACCATCCAATTCTGCCAAAAACAATTAAAAATTCAATGATACGGTAATAATGAATCGGAATCATAACAATGACCTCTGTACATGCAAAATATAATTTTCTTGCTGATGAACTCATTCCTTCCATAGGATCTATCGATAAATTGACTACCTGCGAATCTTCTTTTTCGTGGCCTATTAGGAAGATAAGTATTCTCTTTATTTATTTTGCCCAATCTACCTTGTCAGGTAAAAGTATGTGATAATTTTGTATAATAAATTTTCCTCGATTCCATTTTCTAATACTTTAATTTTTTTTCGTACAGGTACCTGAAACGTTATCCGACGCTAGCAATATAAAGAATATTGAAGGCAAAAGTTTGAATACGGTAACAAATGATGCGTCAGCGACAAGTGGAAATGTGCCGAAAAATATCTATAATTTTTAACTAGCAGAAAAAAATTAGTTTTTTATTCTATTTTCGAGTAAAGCTGCAATGCCCTTTCTGTGTATACGAAAAATTGCATTGGAAAAACATGTATTTTATATCGTGATCGTGACATGTCTCGCATATAATTAAAGTTTATTTAAAAACAATTATATTTCATGAGCTTCTAAAAATCAAACAATAATAAATATTAATTAGCGAGCAATGAGAGCATTTACAACACGGTATTTGGAGCGCAGTACATCAAACATATTTACAATAATTTTTCATTACTTGATGATACAATATTCTTGGACATTTCGGTTTTTACTTTAAACTATTAACCATTACTTTAATCATTAGCAATACCATATAATTTTCGTAAGCAATATTCCGCATATGTTGGAGATGATCTCTGCGTTGGAGAAAAAGTGAGAAACTATGTAAAATCAATACAACTAATATTGTTGTTTCATTATCGTATCATTTGGTTATTCACTTGATTTAACAACGAAAAAAAGTAATAGCATTTTCAATTAAGAAGTAGGAGTATGCACATCCTCAAACGCAGAGATCGTCTCCAACATAGGCAGATTGGAATATTGCTTATGAAAATTAAATGCTATTTTGATGATGGTTTAAAGTAAACTGAAACGGCCAAGAATATTGTATCAACATGTAATGTAAAATTATTGTGAATATATTTTATGTATTGCGCTCAAAACACCGCACTGTAAATGCTCTCATTGCCCGCTAATTAATATTTATTATTGTTTGAAGGTCATTTATTGTAATGTGTATTAACAATGTAACAAATGATAAAATCAGCTGTGTTAAATCGTGATCCCATATTTATCTTTATTCTCAATATGCCTTTAACTTTAATTTACAGAAATAAAAAGATTTTTCTTTATTTATTTATATCATTTTATATCATATAAAAAAAATCTGATATATCATATATAAATATCATATATCAGATTTTTTTTGTTGAATGAAAATTGAGGTGATTTTCTTGTTAGATGTATTTTGTATCTCGGATATATAATTAATAAAGAGAACTTTAAAAATTTCCCTATATATTATAAACAATAATTTATATAAGATGATTTAATTGATCTTTTACAATAAAAGAAGTTAAATTTAAAAAATACTAATAAAATAAATTCAAAAGAAACGAATGCTTATAATAAGTACACTTTTATTGTGTTTATTTTGAAAAGATTCTCCAACCTCTACTTACAATTAGATACATTTTCATCATATTTGAAGATATCTTCTTTTTCACAGAGAACTAAGTAGATACTAAAAAAGAAAGAAAGGATATCAATTTATAAATTGGTCTGTACATCCCTTGCACTTATTGATAACGCGAATTAAATTATTCTACGCTATATATGTATTTTTAAGTTAATGTACTGACTCTAAAAAATCAAGTATAACTTACAAGGGCGTATTTTAGAATGAAACACGAGAATACGCGTCGTTGAAAAAGTAACTACAGCGCTTGCGCTAATTTTACATTCATAGTTTTTCTTATGGATGTATTCTACGAGAAAAGAACATCTGTTGAATTTGTTCGTAACTGAATCGATCACTTAAACTCGACATATTTTAAAAAAGCAGTATTAAATTGCGAGCGTTTTAATATTACATCAGTATTTTATTGCACATTTCATGGTACACATATCATTGAAAATTTAAAAAATTTTCTAAAATTTATGTAAATTTTAACAATTTAGCGAAATTGGTTGAATTACTTAAATTGTCTTCAATTGTGGAATATTTCATAAATTAGAAGAAAAAAATATTAAAAACATTTAATCAATCAATTAAATGGTGGGGATAAGTTCAACTTCATTCATTTCAATTCCGTTAAAAGCATTTTAGAGTTAGCTGAGACATGATCAGTATTGTGGATAGATATTTCAATCTTAATCGAACTCTTTTGTTAATAGTTGGTTTGTGGCCTTATAAAAAATCAAAATTTATTGGATTGCAAATAATATGTATATTTAGCATCCTTATAACTTGCATTATACATCTGGTATGAAAATTTTAATTCAAGTATTATATTTGATCTAGAATTGATTTATAATTGCAAATTTGCTGATTACTTTAAGAATTGATATTTCTCTGAAAATATTGACTTGTAATATGTCAAATGAGCAATTAAATATAAAAAATTAGCGCAAATAATAGTAACATCTTATTCTTTATACGTATAAAAGAAGTCTGTGCAAGTACATGTATACGCGTATACATACAGTTGTACGTTCTAGTAATAAAATATTATATATGTCGATTTCTATTGCAAATAGTTACATAATTATATTAGTACATAATTTTGAAAATTATAATTGTATAACTTAATATTTATGAGGCTTTCACGAGAATTTTCTATACAGAAGTCATGCACACACACATTTGGCGGATTATCTCTTGTCCAAAACTATTATTAGAATATCAATTTTTTGTTAACATTGTAATTTATTT